CTTTTTTTTTAATTTAAATTTGTTTTATTTCTTTTTTTGTTTGTTTGTTTTATATCTTAAAGTATTACAAAGAGTAAGAAAACCCTAAAGACTCTACCAAAAAACTAGATTTAATAAATGAATCCAGCAGTGTAGCAGGATACAAAATTAACACCCAAAAAACCTATGGCATTTTTTTACACCAATAATGAATTGTCAGAAAGAGAAATTGAACAATCCCATTAACCACTGCAACAAAAAAATTAAGATACTTAGGAATAAACTTAATCAAGGAGGTAAAAGACTTGTACTTGGAAAACTGTAGGATGTTGAAAAAAGAGACAGAGAAAGATATAAACAAGTGGAAGAACATACCGTGCTCATGGATTGGTAGAATTAACATTATTAAAATGTGCATACTACCCAAAGCAATCTATAGATTCAATGCAATCCCCATCAAATTACCAATGGCATATTTCACAGATCTAGAATGAACGTTCCAAAAATTCCTCTGGAATAAAGAAAGACCTCGAATAGCTGCAACAATTCTGAGAAAGAAGAACAAAGTAGGTGGGATCTCAATACCAGATATCAAGCTGTATTCCACGGGGAGTTCCACCGGGAGTTTAACCAGGGTGCTAGGCCAGCCAGGGGAAGGGAGGGAGGTCCTGGCTGGTGGCCTCTAGAAACCCTACCAGTGCACGAATTTCACACACTGGGCCCCTAGTTGCTTAATAATAGCAGAATGCAGAGCCATCCTATGGAATACCAAGCATCAAGAGAGAAAAATGAAGACCTACATCCACCACCATGAAGAATACAAGACACACAATGAATGACAACAGTAAATGCACAAACTTATACATATAGTGGTACTATTTTAAAAAACAATGCAAAGGCCACAGAAAAAGTACTACACTTTTCTTACTTGTATACTTATGCATGAAAAAGCATAAAAGTCGTCTGGAAAGACAGACACCAAACTATTAACAGAAGTCACCTCTAGAGAAGGAAACACAGCACTAAGTTCGGGGGCAACTATTTAACTTGGTACAGGAATGTTCTGAAATGTCACGCACTCGAAAATAATTTTAAAAGGCTGACAAACCAATGCATGAGCCTCTAAGCCCGAACTCCCAGGGCCCCTCATCCGACGCCGTCCGTCCCTACCTGGCCCCCCTGGGGCCAGCTCCCGAGCGCTGACCCAGACCCACCGGAATCCAGGCCAGTTCCCTGCTCCCCGCTGGCCACCACGTCAGCGGCCAGGGCGCGGCACTCACCAGACACGGGGGAAGGGTCCCTCTTGGGCTGCAGGCGACTGGTCTGGGGCAGGAACGGGTTGTTGAGCCTGCGGGAATTGGCAGGGTCAGGAAGAAACCGGGCCCTGGGTCGCCCCTCGGCCCGGCCCGCGGCTCCATGCGAGGCTGCTCACCCGAACGTGTTGGGCTCCTCCACCACCTTCATCTTGGCGGCGCCCGCGTACGTGGGTCCTATGGGAACGGGGCGTGAGGAGGCGGGGACGGGCTCGGGGAAGGGGCCCGGGGGCGGGTCGGGGAGGGG